CCCAAGGTCCTGAAATTTGGTATGGAGGTACAGTGGGCAAATACCCCTAGGCGTTTTTTAAATTATTGTGATACAGGCTTTTAGAATGGTTTTATTTGAGTTTTTTGGCTGTGTTATAGCAAATGTATTACTGTGTTAGTGTGCCTTGTTTACCACGTTTGGGCATGAGTCATCACAATGGAATGTAGGGCATCAACCAATAGGCATGCAGCTTTCCTCTATACTTCTTGCTGATTGGCTGTTGGGATTTAACTTGATTAACACCTGCACAGAAGCATTTCCATACTGACAGAATGTCTGTATTCAAGTGTTTTGGTAGGTATTTCAAGCTTTCCTGCTCCAGCATTGGAATGCCGGGCATGGACGTTTTTTTTTATTTTGAAAATCAACAGTTTGCATTATGCAATTAAAAATCCTAACCAATAAAGTAGGGAATAGCTATCCAACTGTTGTTTTAGTTGTATTTTACTTCATATTATAGTTATATCAATGTAAATCATTGTTTTCCCTTGTGTTTCCCATTCTTTCCCTGCCATGTCGTAAAATGTGGTGAACCCATCGCTGTATTTGCTCCAAAGCAAATATTGGCCTTTCTAGTTAGAAATAGATTTAGAATAGTTGTTATTTGACTGTTACATTTTATTTATGTACTGTGTACTAGTATCCTTCTTCTGCGGCATACCCCCATTGTTCATCGTTTTGCTTTGTTTGGAATTAGCCCTTGGGCATCGATATCGATTGAACTTATTATGAGGTGAAGTTTATAGATTTAGAAATTAGAATAGTTATTATTTGACTTCAATTTTTCATTTGAATATATCCTGATTTACACCATTGTTTTCCTTTGTTTGCAATTAGGGCATAGCCATAGATATGCAATATGAAGTTAGTTATTATAAAAGATGAATCCGTCTATGTGTCCCCTTTTCTAACCTGTTGTGTTTGACTGTACCTGTGCTGTCAGTCTTCCTCTGTTCAGCCCCAGCAGCAGAACCAGAGGAAGGAGGAGGTCTTCATGGCCGAGATCGAGATAAACGACGTGCCCATCGGCTGCAGGAACTTACTCACCAGGGGACACACACAGGATGAGGTAAGGGCACTCGTTACCGTAAATGCATTTAATTTTGCAGTGGTTATTTTTCGCCATATGTTGGAGAAGGAAGTTTTTGCTGTCAGTGTGTTTTAAATCCATGGTTGAAAAAATTCTGTTAACCACAGAACTGTCAACTAATACAAGGAAGGCATATTGGAGGTGTAATGAATTCACGGTGGAGAGGTCACTGAGAAAACAGCGAAAATGAAATTTATAGTACCACCACGGACACTTTGAGTCAGGGAGAAATTCGGAATGTTGATTAAACAAGAAATTCACTAAAAACTCTATTTTGGGATAGGTTTTCATCCAGGGTAGCATTCTGTACTGTGAGTTAATTTATTTTGCTTTACACAGGTGCATAAGATGAGTGGGGCAGCTGTATCCACACGTGGCAGATACATGTCACCTGAAGACAAGGCCAAAAATAACTACGGGTAGGTTTGGGAAACTTACAGTACAGGCAAATCTGGAGTTGTTATAAGATTTGGAGTTGTAGGCAAGATGTTGGAGTTTATAGTCGTTGTCTTATGTAACATTTTGAATAAAACTGAACTGAATGTAACATGGACAGCTTTGGAATAGTAAGACTTTGAAAATTAGAAGAAAAGGTAAAATGTTTGGCGACCAATAGATGAAATGTACAGAATTGTGCAGAGTGATTAAAGTCAGATGATGTTTACTCCCCTAGAACCATCTAGAATGGAATAGCCGTTATATTGGATTGATTATGTAAGGACTCATATAATTCTGTTTCCCTTTCAGGGAGAGACCTCTGTATTTGTGTGTTCAAGGACCCATACAAGAAGCAGTGGACAGTGAGTATACCCTTTTGTGACAATATTTGCCAGTTTCAACATGACTTCAGGTGTAAAGTCTGTTCAATAAAGATCTTGCTTTTCATGACTTAATATATATGAATATTTTATGACTGTAATAG